AAATATTTGTCTTACCCTTAACGTATAATCTGCATAATATCGGGCGGCGCATAAAGAATGACGGTCACAATATTTTATCGATACCTTCTTCAATGTTAATCGTTCATATTTCGGCTTAGTTTTAAAAAACTCCTCGTGCGATTCTCTATAGTGACTCGCATTTTAGAGAATCGCACACGGAATCTTTGAAAACTAAGCTGAAATATGAGCGATTAAAATTGAAGGAGATATCGATAAAATACTGAGACCGCCATTCTTTATGCATCACCCGATTTTTCAAAGGTTTAAAATAAACTCATATTCAGTAGGCTCATCATACTCGTCTTTTCGAGCGCTACAAAATGACTATGTTAATGTTTTTCGTTAAAGCTTTTCTCTTCGAAAAAATTATATTTCCTAATAAAAGTATTTGTACTTTTTTCACTCTTTAGCAAATTTTCTAGCAACAACGTAGGATTTAAAAGATCCAAAAGTATGCGCTTTGTAGTGATATGAAAGAGGAATAAAATGAGCTTATTCGGCGCGAGTTTATTCTCAATCTTCAAAGTGCTACGAAGAAGATACGTTAACTACACTTCAAGTATTCATTCTAGCTCTATCAGTAGTTTTCGAGAGTTGCCATAGCATGGAAATGTTGCAATTCGACTTATGATTTTCTATACTTGAGACCATACCGACATAAAATACGAACTTTTTTAGTTATTTTTCATAAATAGGTAAAGGATGTTATTGGATGCTGCATTCTGATTTATATTATATGTTTAAAATGGCTCATTTTTACCACGACGTCGTCGTCGTCGTTTTAAACAAGAATCATCAAATAATCATCATTGACATCAACAATAGGAATTTGCGTATAAAGCATCTGATTTATTATACGATATGATAGAATTTATATTTTTCGTTTCTGCATTATAATTGTTATGATTTTTTCTCGTATTATTGTTCTGAATAAATAAATGATATACAAAATAATTATGATACATTTGCTGCATAAGTTGGTAGCTTCAAAAAGAACTTCAAGATGTATGTCACGCTTTTCTATTATTTTTATGATAAGATGATAATAGAGGAAATTTTACCGGGATTATAAATAAGAGAAAACTGACATTTTTGACTGTTAAATATCATTATTATCCTATTATTGATTTTTGCAGTGAGTTATAGCAAAAAATTCTAAGGTATATTTCATTTTTAGAATAATATCAAAGAAAATTAAAGAAAATACATATCTTAAACAAACTCTATCAATTGAAAGGTTTTTTCCTTCTATTTCATGTCCAATAAATAGTTCAATCGAAGCAAGAAGAAAAATAACTAATAATATTCGAAATATTCGTATTCGTTTTTGTTCCATTATACCCAAAGGAATAAATGCCGATAAAATGATTATCAACATTATAACAGGCATTTTTTTTAATAAACGAAAATAAAATTCTAATGCAAGTCCAATAACCAACTTTGAAATAATATGACTAAAAAAATGATCAACATTTTGACGAATAAATTTTGGTAAAGGGATTGATCAAAGAAATTCCAAAACACTAAAAGCAATTGTTGGTACATACGTTTTATTAATTAAAATATTAGTTGAATATCTATGTGATAAAGAATATTCATCAGATCAGGCATGCAATTGAATTGTATTGTTCATGAGAGTTAATAAAAAGAAAATGAGTATAGGAGATATATTCATTCATCTTAGATACATGCAGAAGTGTTAAACAAAACAAAAACCATGGGTATTTTTTTGCTTTCATCTGTTTATTTCGAAAAGTACGACTTGTATTTTTGAAAAAAAAGTTTCTATTCCATACAAAGGTTAAAACAAAAAGTTTAAAGATCATTTCTAAATGAACGATCACATTGAAATAAAAATGCATTTATCATAGCTTTGATTAAATATTTAAAGGCAAGAAGTTTTGATATTGCCATCGATTCTAATGTAAATTGAGCATAGATTCGTGCTTCATAATTACATGCTAATTTTTACCAGATTTTTTTCAATATATGATAACCAATCAAATAGAAATGATAAAAGAAATTCTAATGATTCATTAACTAAAACTGGGTTTTCAAAAAATTTCTGAATTTTTCTTTTGAAATGTGACTTGTATTTTTCATTTTAAACAATTGATAACTAAAGCTATCGTTATTAGGTTGTCACTTATTCCGCATTTTGAACGTTTTGTCACTTTTTCGACTGAATGAGGTGGCAGCTCTGATCATTATCTATATAGTTAATCTGTTTGAGGTAATTCAGGCTAATTTTTAAACAGGAAAATCTAAATCATTTGAACTATTTAAGTGATATTAACATCTGACTTTTCCTGATAGAATAAACTATAGTCAATGTGCAACACTACTATACGCATTAGTCTCCTGATTTTTTTTACTTGCTTATTCGAATATCGAACCCTAGACCAATGTACACATTATTATAATTGAGGGTGTGGGCATAGATAAATCCTTTACGCACACCCTACTTCTCATATTCTGTCTGATAAAAAAAACGCCAGATGGATGTAGTGTTGTGCGCAGCAGAAAATATTTTTTTTCTTTCGTTCGGTTTTTGATCGCAATGCAAGTAATTATTGGAGTAAACACCGATTCTATTTATCGAAGAGAGAAAAACAACTTATTTCCACATATAGATATCGAAAGAAAAAATATGCTTCCTCTCATGCACGCAGTCAGTCTGTCACTTTCCTTTCTTCATTTGACGTCGCACATACCCTGGTGTAAGTAAAAGAACGAAGGTAAGTGTTCGTAACAGTAGGAGACATTTTATTTTTCAATATTAGAACAATTTTTTTTTAAATATTTTTCGCCACTCGATTTACATTTATTTAATACGTAGAAATGAGATACAGACCGATATATATTTAAACCTATATGAAACTAGGAAAGAAAAATCCAAAGATAATCTTTCAGTTTCTAAACATCTTGCCAATCAGTGATTATTCTACTAACGAGGGAACGTTTTCAACTGTCAAATCCCTTTTGAGTTCAGACTTTGTGCATAAGATAGACCCCCGTGAGGTATGAAAAATCCCAAAAGATTAAATCCCCTTAGGCCTTCTATCCAGAGTTATAGGCATTTTACTGGAATTTTAGCCTAGAGCATGGTATATACGAACAAATCGAATGGCGATATTTAGATCTGAGATTTTGCCCACAGACAGATCTATTTATGAATAGAATGTCCTGAAAATTTTAGCTCAAAAGAATGTTTCCTTTCCAATATATTAAAGCCCCAAAAATGACTCATATACGACAAATGATGCTATGATTTTCTGTTTTTTAGGACTTTAATATCTTGGGAAGGAAAGGTTCTTTTGAGCTCAAATTTTCAAAACATTCTACTCATAAATAGATCTGTCTGTGGACAAAATCTTAGATCGAAATATCGCCATTCGATTTGTTCGTATATACCATGCTCTAGACTAAAATTCCAGTAAAATGCCTATAACTCTGGACAAATGGCCTAAGGGGATTTAATTTTTTGGAACTCTTCATACCTCACTGGGGTCTATCTTATGCACAAAGTCCGAATTCAAAAGGGATTTGACAGTTGAAAACGTTCCCTCATAAGATGTAAGTTCTGAGTAACAGATTGTTCCTTCATAAAATATTATATTCTGCATACGTACTTATGTCAACATGACATACTTATTCACACAAAAAGTACTCAAGTCATAGAACAACAAAACGATAATTTCATACTGACATGAAATACATCCATCTAAACACACACATACACCATATTGAATGTTTCTGAGATTTAAAGTAAAGCAGGTGATTCTGTTTCATAAATAAACATTTAGAATTATTTGCGCCTGTTATCTTCTATACAAAAAACAGTTGAAATCTAGAATATTTCTGTTTAGTCGATTTAGATTGTTGATAATGTCATTGCTGAAACAACAAATCAGCTCACAAGATGTTTTACAAAAATTTAGTTGATATCAATAGAGACTAACTAAAACTTTTCGTTCCAAATAACATATTTGAAAGGGCGGAAGATGCTGAAAGTCTTTCGAAAATGACTTCTCTCGTACTTTAAAACATTTTCTACCTACTGTGTCATCTGATGTTCTTTCGAATGTAATTTTTGGAACGAAAATTTCTACATAATAGAAAAAAAGATAAAGTGTTCACATGAATATTGTCAGATATCTGTCGTAAAAATTGTCCAAAAAATGTTGTCTAATATTGTAATAAATGCGTATGTATATGTAAGCATGCACAGAACGAATGACCAACCGATATTACAGTGGTTGGTGAGATGATAAGTTAATTTAAAAAGTTGTAGTTTCGGAATTGTCAAGAATTACGACTCGACCCAATTCTCGAAATTCCGTACCGGAATTGGGTGAATTAAAAAGTAGGGGGAGGTACATGATTAATGAAGACATTGCAATTCTGGAATTGCACGGAAGTCCGTGATGACTGAATCTCAGCGGTTCTGGAATTGGAAGGAATTCCGTGCGGACTGAATTTTAGCGATTCCAGACGTGTTGGAATTGGAGAGAATTGATTCCCGGGGCGGAACTGGTTCTGCAATGTTCAACATTGCGAAATAGGATGACTGCTCCTCGTATGTATGTGGATTTTTGCGGTTACATGTGCAATCTGATCATTCAAGCATGAAAAAATACAGTTTGTGAAGAAAAAGAAATCCTTAATAGTTAATGAATTAGATTCATTTTTGGTGTATTATAGTTGCAAGCCTCTAATGGTATGTTTCTTTTCGAATAAATTAATGTGTATTGAATCATTTGGGTGTCTGAAAAAAGTACTGCAGGCTCGTAGAATAGGCACTGAACAATACCAGTGATAATGATCTTGTATCTCATGAAGGAATAGGTTAGAGAGTAGCAGAGAAGGGAGAAAAATAAGTTGTTGTTAATAGAATCATATATATGAGTAAATATACAGTCAGAAAAAAAAGATACATTAAAAGAATTTAATATGTTTACTTTAGAGAAGAAATTGGCATGAACGGTCCAGAGCAAACACTAGAAATTGTAAGTAAACAAATATCAATTCACATATGTATTGATAGTAAAAATTGAATTAAAAAAATGGTTGTTATTTTATAAATTTAGAATGATCACAAATTAAACCTTCCTGATCTTTATCAACGCTACAATACTGATCCAGAAGCAGTCAGTGTTATAAATCACTAGTTCATTCCGAGACTTTTTTCATCTTCATAGGGTTTAACAGATGCTAAAGCGAAAGAAATTTTTAATCGTGATGGTCCCAATATGTTGCCGCAACCAAAGACAACACCGGAATGGATGAAAATTTGTAGAAAAATATTTGGCGGCTTTGCACTTTTGTTCTGGATTTGTGCGAGTCTGTGCTTTATCGTGCATGCTCTTACAACGGCGACACATCACGAAAATGTATCAATCAGCTACGTGCGTAGTATCAATCATTTTCTTTTCATATGTACATGTTACGAAAATTCTAGTTATGGCTCGGCATAGTGTTGATTATCGTAGTGATTGTCACTGGCTTTTTTTCATACTATCAAGAATCGAAAATTTCACCAATCCTGAATCAAATATCAGATATGTAAGATGATTTTTTTTTGGCTTCTTCATTTGTGTTTTTCTGTGATATAGGATTCCTGAAGTAAGTGTATATATTGGGCATTATGGTATAATCATCTTCTTTTCTCAATCTAGAAAGCAGTTGCTATTCGTAATGGTGAGAAACAAATAATAAACGCCAAAGATTTAGTAATAGGTGATATTGTCAAAATCACGTTTGGTGACAGAATACCTGGTTAGTTTCTTTTGAAAAAAGAGCGAACATTCATCTGACTTTCTATATGAATAGCTGACATTCGCATTATCGAATCGAAGAACTTCAAAGTCATTAATTCCTCCCTGACTGGAGAAAGAGAACCACAAATACGTTCGACTGAATTTACCAATGAAAATCCATTAGAAACGAGAAATTTGGCTTTTCTCAGCACCATAGCGGATGAAGGTTTGTATGATATTTTTTACGCAATATTTTGCTTATATTTAAGGATTTATCAGGCACTGCCAAAGGTCTTGTCATTCGTACGGGCGATCATACTGTAATTGGTCGTACTATCAATTCGATTTCGAATCAATCTACTGGTGACACATCGCTTACTAAAGAGATCTCTCACTTGAATTATAGCATCACACGAGTAGCCGTCATTCTTGGTATATCCTTCTTCATCATCACACTTAGTTTCGGTTATCCATTCATCGAATCAATCATTCTTCTCATCGTTATTATCATTGCTAATGTACCTACAGGTCTTTCCATCACTATCACGGTAAATAGCGACTGTTGAAGAAGAAGAATTAGAAATGAATTTTTCTCGTTGATTACTGCTTTAGATATGTTTAACATTGATAGCAGAAAGAATGGCTAGAAAAAATTGTTCGTTGGAAAAGTTGGAAGCTGCTGAAACTCTCAGTTCGACATCGATCATCTGTGTGAATAAAACCGGTGTATTGACACAAAATCAGATGGTAGTTGCTCATATGTGATTTGATAATGGAATTGTCGAAGTGGATGTCAGTGAAAATCAAGCCTGTGAGTTATTTTTTGACAATACAGAACAAAAAAAAAGGAATTGCAGAAATTTTTAGTATCTACCTTCGACAAAAATTCACGTGGTTTCTTGGCACTATCTCGTTGTGCTACGCTGTGCAATCGAGCTGATTTCAAACAAGATTCTGAAAATTTAGCGCAACCAGTGTTACAACGCGCATGCAATGGTGATTCGTCTGAAGTCGCTCTACTAAAATGCGTTGAACTATCAGTTAGTAGATTTTCTTTCATCGATTATTCTTTCATAATTTTTAATTCGTATAGACTGGCAATGTAAGCAGATCCCGTGAGATACATCCAAAAGTGTGTGAAATTCCATTTAATTCAACAAATAAATATCAACTGTCGATTCATGAATTGAATACTAATATTGAAAGTGAAGAAAATTCTCGGTCTTATTTATTAGTGATGAAAGGAGCTCCTGAAGGAATTATTGAACGATGTTCAACAATTTATATCGATGGTGAAGATTTGGAAATGAACGATTGTAAGTGTACTTTTACTATAGTTAAATATCATTTATTATCTTTATTAAATATTTACAGACTGGCGCACAGCATTCGAACATGCGTATTTGGAGTTGGGTAAACTAGGAGAACGAGTCTTGGGCTTTTGCGATTTGTGTTTACCAGGCAAGGAATATCCGTACGGATATTCATTCGATACGGATGAAGTTAATTTTCCTACAACAAATCTTCGTTTTCTCGGTCTCATGGGGATGATCGATGCGTCGAAGGCATCTGTTCCTGACGTGTCCGTGTCGCCAAATTTTTCATTTTTTGACCTTTAATCTGACTTGTTTTTCTTATCATAGGATAATGAAGTGTCGTTCGGCTGGAATCAAAGTGATTATGGTAACTGGAGATCATCCAATTACCTCGAAAGCCATTGCCCGTACTGTGGGCATCATTTCGAAAGGCTCAGAAACAGCAGAAGATATAGCAGAACGTTTGGACATTTCTCTAGAACTAGTGGATTCGAATGATGCTAAAGCTTGTGTTATTCATGGTAATGATCTTAGAGCAAAATCACCAGAAGAAATTGATGCATTGCTAAGAGATTATCCAGAAATTGTCTTTGCCCGAACATCTCCTCAACAAAAAGCCATTATTGTTGAAGGTGAGCATGACATTATCGACAAAGAGATATTAAGATCAATACTCTATTTAGCATGTCAACGACAAGGTGATATTGTGACTATGATAGGCAACAGTGTCCATGATTTACCAGCTTTGCAACAAGCTGATGTCGGGATAGTTATCGGTTCGTTCGTATTTTTTCTCTTTGTCACTATCTGAAACAGGCTGATTGATACATGTAGGTATTGATAGTTCGGCTATATGTAAACAAGCAGCAGAAATAATTATGATGGACGACAATTTTGCTTCGTTTCTGACAGGTGTGGAACAAAGTCGTCTGATGTTTGATAATTTGAAAAAATCAATTGCCTACACCATGACATCAAACATTGCCAAAATGATTTCAGTTCTGATTTTTTTGTTAACAAATATACCGTTAGCATGGGGAATCACTACTGTTTTGTGTATCGAATTCATGAATATAATGGGAGCTATTTCATTGGCTTATGAGAAAGTGGAAACAGATATTATGAAGAGACGACCAAGAGATCCAAAGCATGATCGACTTGTGAACAAACGGTAAAGAACTTGACATAGTGAATCGAACAATGAAAACATTGACTATTTTTTTTAGCCCTGCATTAATAACTTTCAGTCTCATAGGAATCATTCAAGTAGCGACTGGATTATTTGCCTATTTCTTGATCATGATCGAGAACGGCTTTTCACCATCACATCTTTTTGATCTGAGAAAGTCATGGGAATCAAAAGATGTTAATAATTCCTATGGTCAAGAATGGGTTCGTATTTCACCACTTATTTAACTTTAAAAAAAAAATTTTGTTTTTTCAGACTAACGAACAACGCAAACAACTGAAATTTACATGCTACACTGCTTTCGTTATCACTATCATCATTTGTCAATGGGCTACATTGATCATATTCAAAACTAGACGAGATTCCATCTTGCAACAAAACATGAAGTAAGTTCGCTATTCGGATAAGAAATCTATATATTTGTAATTAAATAGCAATTTAATGTTAAATGTTGGGATGATATTTGAAACTATTCTGCTTGCAATTATTTCCTACATAATATATTCCAATACAGCTCTCAATACCTATTCATCGAAGTAAGAATCGATATGATTGTTACTATGTTTTTTAAATTCGATTGTAATATAGATTTGGCTGCTGGCTTCCGGCATTGTCCTATGTTATTCTCATTTTAATCTTGGATGAAGTGCGTAAATACATCATTCGCAAACATCCTGGCGGTGTGGTGGACAAAGAAACGTCGTATTAACTTTTTCGAGATTACTTAGTTACACTTAGATTTTTTCACTAATTTAGAATTCTTAGTCAGTTTAGTGTATTCATTTATAAAGTTTTACTAATCAAATCTTATTTAGTTCCTGAGCTTTTATTCAATTAATAAATTTACCAGAACAAAACATGACATTTAAACGAATTCTAAACTAAAAATACATTTGTTTTTTTTATGACCAATGCAGTTCAACAAATGAATACAAACGTTTGAAAACACAATCCGTGTAATTTAACCTTTCCTTTTCAATCATTCGTGCACAAATACATTTTAGACTGAGTTGAATGGGACGTATTCAGAAAAGACTTTTGACTTTCTCGTGTATAGCATAATCTTCTGATGTTCCTCTCTGTGCATATGCATCAAGATGCGCCCCAGCATCCACAAGTAATTTGAATTTAATTTCTACGTCATTTAGTTGTTCATCGGTATAATTTTCATATTCATCTTCAGCAAGTTCATGTAATGATGTATTATGATGACAAACAATCGCATTGATCGGTGCCCGGCAGGACAGTAATAACATGACTATCGGTAGAGATGGAAAATAAGTAGCGTAGATCGAGACGATCCACTAGGTCCCTTGACTGTGCGGACAAACACGCAAACAAACAGTCATTTTCGAGATTAAGACCTTGACTACAGTCAAGGAAATTTGTGACAATATCGATACTAGTATAGTTATGGTATTCCATTAAAGATAGGTGTAATAATGTTTCGTTATCGGATATTGTACGCCAGTCTAAGTCAATAAATTGTTGAACTCGTTGAAGAAAAACTTTTCGTCGTTTTTGTTTTTTTTTTACCACTGCATATTAAGATCTGAAAGAAGTCACACAATAGAAAAAAATCTGTATCATATTCAAAAAGATTATCAAAAACAGAGTTATGATTTGGGTTTAAAAATGTATCTCTGATTTCATTCTATCTATGAGATTTTTTGCAAACTGAAAGCATCTACGGAAGAAATTACTAAACTTTTTCTCATTTACATTAATCCCAATAAAGAGAAGATTGAGTATGATATATAAACATTTATCTGCATTGTACATCTCAATATCATCGACTTGATTTGATGACCAAAGAAATTTTTGATTTTTTTGTTTGACATCCAATGCTGATGTAAGATTTCTATTCCTAATACATTCATTTTCAGTTGCTTGTAATACTTTTAGAAATAAATCAAATTGAATTTTCTTTGCTCTATTATGATGGATCATATCACCCATAGTAATAGCATATTCCTCTAGATCAGATATACATTCAGGTAAATCAATTTGTGTTTTTATTCCGAGATGATATGCATGTAAATATAATTGAAAAGAACGCTGATATTCCTCACAAGATCTATATTTTCTAGCCTGATTACTAAATGAAGATAAAAAACTCGACGTGACACCCATTTGTTCCCGTATTATAAAACCTTCCATAATGATACGATCTCGATCATTTTTTTATTAATTCGAACTCTTCATTTGTTTGACATTCTGTACAATGTCCATAGACTTCAACTGGAGATAGCAGATTGTTTTTGAGAATTGATACCTTTGAATTTCTATATCTTAACTGCATTGCCCAGAGCAGATAGTGGTAAGGGGTGGGTATGTGGATGTAGGTGTGGGTCAAAAAGAGTATCAAGGACATCCACATCCACACCCCACAACCCACATCCACACCCGACCCACACCCACATCCCACACACCCACACATCGACACTCACACCCAATAAGCCCTTTGTGAGTATCGTAAAAATATCATAAAAGCTGTAAGGATTTATTATTCTACGCTTTTTTTTTACAGTGTAGGAGTTTTCGCTATTATGCATATTTTTCATTTTGCGCATGGGAAAAATTATCAAAATATGTCTTTAAGAATTTGTTCATAGAAATTTTGATAGAGCTTTCCAAGACGCATCTTTTAAAGAAAAACTAAAGGTTATAT